GGATGGATGAGATGCGCATTAGATGTTACGGCAGTTTTCATTAAGGCTATTAGTGTCCAAACACAAATATTTAGTCCTGTTTATGAAATTTAAAACAATAGGTCTTGTTTTTACAATTGTCTCATTTTTTAGTCCTCTTTTGAAAATTCTCTCTAATCTAAATCTAGCAGGGATAATCACTTTTAATGTAGATAAAATGATATGTAAAAAAGGGATATGCGAGTAAACCTCTAAGCCAACAAAAATGGTTGTGAGAAACATAAGCAAGAGAGAAGGTCAGAGGAAATGGGCAATTTTAACTTTTTGAGATGAGATAAGTAGAAATAAGAAATTCTTATCAAATGGTCTATAATTTGTGTTACCCAAATACCCAATGATAGTGAATAATGCAAAAAACCATGGTAACTTGGTAAGGCTCTAACGAAACATAAACAAGACTTTGTCTAAAGTGGGATAGTTTTAGAATTTAGAAAGAAAGAAAATCAATAAACCGTCAAATTGGATTGGGTCATTCAACCTAATGACCTCATGAATTACACAATTCAATTCATTTAGAAACATCAATTTAGCTTAGTTTACCTGCTGAGTGCGAGCTAACATCCAATTACTTGGAAGTGACATGTTATCCCCACCGACATATAAAATGGCCATGATTGATTTTTTAATAGTTGAGGTGTGTATATCAGTATATGTGAGGTGTCACATAAGTCAGTGTGTGCTGAGCTGAGTCTCTGATATGGTGTTGAGCTTAGTTATGTGCTTAACTGGATTTCTAGTGTGCACAAGACAATTTCTATTATCATTAGGATTGGTTAAGTTATTATTTACAACCTTTCATATGCTTTGTCGAGTTAATTTGAGGGCCCTTGGATTGAAAATATTCAACATTTTTGACACACTAATAATTTAAGAGGTAACTTGTCTGAATTACAAAAGCAGTTGGAAAGAGTTTAGAGAATAATTGATTCAAATTATAATTTTGATGAATACAAATAATTAGATTCACTATGAACATAAGCTGTACATTATCTGATTCACGTTGTCATTCAATTTCTTGTGCACATTGTCTAATCTTCTAGTGTATGTAATGGATGACATCATAAATTCCACTTATTTAATTTTTTATTCAGAGAAAAAAATACAAATTATGTATTCACTATACAAATTATCTACTCTGGACTGTGTGATTCTTGGGGGTTTGGTCTCGGACTAGGCGGTCCATGGTGGGAAAACACGGGAACTGGGATTGTACCTCTATTTTTGGTTCCAATCGAATTACGGTCCCCAAGTGGGGGGTCCCAGTTCGACCCTTGTCTCAATTTTTATATTTTTAAACCCTCCCCACGTGCGTAGCCATGTCACATGATCGACTGGACTGGTACACAATCTTTTTTTGGATATATTTTTACAACAATACTTGAACACATGTTTTAAATTTGGAGTGGACAGGGGTCTAGGTTGACCCCTAGTTCCGCCACGGACCCTCCCGACCCCCTCACTAGCTACATTTTTAGCTTTTAAATCGTTTTACACCTCTTTTCAAATGCTTCCATCGCTTGAAATGTCTAAAATATAGATCGAATTGGGACCAGACCAGCCGGTCTCGATCTCACAAAAGGCAGTCTGGGACCGGTTCTTGTGAACCGCTCCCCTGGGCATGTGCCCTAACCGAACCGGTATTACCGATCCTGGTCTAGTTCCAGGAAATTGCCGGTTCTGGTTTTGGTCGACCTAAGACTTGGAACTAGGCAGGGGCATAGCTAGGGGAGGGCTAGCCCTGGCCCTGACCAAGCCCATATTCAAAGTTGTGTGTATTAAGATATGATGTTCCATCCTAAAAGGTCAACCTGATAGGAGGACTGGAGGAGTAACCAATGTCTTAATATAGCACTTTGTTGATTCAAACTTTTCCGGTGTGGGACTCTAGCACCCCTCCTCACGACCAGACAATTCGTCTGTATCGTGCCGTCATTCAATTTTTTCGTCGGTTCGCCATTATCATTTTTTATAATCGTGTCGTCATTTTTCATAAGGGGCCCACACCATTGATCAATTTGGCTCTGATACCATATTAAGATATGAGGTTCCATCCTAAAAGGTCAACCTGATAGGAGGAGTAACCCATGTCTTAATATAACACTTTGTTGATTCAAACTTTTCTGGTGTAACACTGTAAAAAAAATACAAAAAAATTCTTTGTATCAGCTCAGCCCGACGGGAAATTTACCGAGATATGACTAAAACTCAATGAGTTTCTCAATCTATGACCTAACTAGTTTTTATACCTTTGTATGACCGAAAATCCAAAAAAAATAGAAAATACGTTTATATTTAAATGTTGAATGACGAAGATACCCTTATTTAAAATATGTGCATTTTGCCCTAATTTCGTCCAATTAAAATTATTACACTTTATATTGTCGTTAATGCACAAAATTAATGCATGCCTTTACTGCACACCCGGTAATAATCACTCCACTTCCGCAAAAATTAATTCTCTTCTTATTCAATTGTGGACATTTTTTATATTTAATGATTTTATTATTTTATGTCTAATTAAGTATATTGCATTTCATGATGATATCACTGCTCTGTGTTACTGCAATACCGGTCATAAACACTACATGACAAACTTTTTAATGCATTCATTCACTGCTATGAATAATACTCCGTATATATTATGATGTTCACTGTCTATATTCACTTCACATATTTAATGCCCACAAATTTAGATACTCCAAATTTTGAAAATAGAAAAGCAAAAAAGAGAATTGTGGGCCTAAGCTAGTAGCGGATCCAAAGTAGGGATCCAGTCTCAACCCATTGAAAACATACAAACCTAATTTTAAGTCTAATGGGAGTATTCATCTACGGGAGAGCTAGTTGCGAGCCATCTATCACTCATGGAGGCGGAGGCGGCGAGTTGGAGCGCTGTTATGCAGTTAGATGGCGGCGGCTGGTTGGGGACGAAGGGCGGCACCTGCGAGGCCGCGGCTAGTTGAAGATGAATGGAGGCACCTGGGAGGCGGAGCGCAGATCTTGAGACAGCAGCGATGCACAGATCTTGAGAGAGTAGCGGCGCACATGGCTCTCTGGCCATCTCTGCAGAGGTGTTAGGCCGCCAGCAACCTCCGAGCCAACCATCTTGCGTGAGGTTATTGGTGAGGCTTCCATACCTTGTGCGACTCGGCAACGTGACTCCTGAGCGGCGAGCTGGCGGCGGCGGCAGGCGGCGTGCAGCAAGGCAATGGTGGCAGGCGACCGTGCGGCAGTCGTGGGATCGGAGGCCAGTGTGCGGCTGGAGAAGATTACATCTTATTAGGGTTGGGAAATGATTGGAAGATTAGGGTTTTATAGGCATATTCTAAAGGGTATATTAGTCCATCAAATTTATTTATTTATTTATTAATTACGAAATTAATTAAATATTAGAAATTTAAATATTTTTTGGGAAAAAAACTAGTTAGGTCATAGTTTGATAAACTCAAGGAGTTTTAGTCATATCCAAGATAATTTTCTCCCCCTAAAATTAGATGAGTCGTGTGCTCATAGTACTTCATAAACAATGATCAATAATTAGCAATCCAGTAACGTAATTTGGTCGATTTGTGGTTGAGTAAAAGCGCTTCCAATGTGTTTATCTTGTTTGGAATTTGTACTTCTAATGCTTGGTAATATTATGTTCATGTTGTTCTCGATCATACATATACTAGGAAGTACGTATTACAGATACGTAGTACGAAGAACCTACGTAGTACTCCCTCCGGTTTTTAATAAACTTCACACTTTCCTTTTTGGGACGGTCTAAAATAAACTTCACACTTCTTTATTTCTTTTTTTGGCAAAGAAATCTACATCAAAACAGTGCCAAACAGTGTCTCAACAGTGCCAAACAGTGTCTCTACAGTGCCAAACAGTGTCAAACAGTGCCTCAACAGTGTACTCTACAGTAAAGTCAAATTTCTTTCCTTATTTTGTGTGAAGTCAAACTGTGAAGATTAAAAAAAACCGGAGGTAGTATTTGTTATGAGAAAGTACAAGCAGATTTGAAACTCGTTTTATGTGTACAATGTGCGAAATCTGTTTTTCTCTCGTTAGAACTTCGAATGGCCGTTCTTATGTTTGGATGTCTCAATTTTAGGTGATTATTATGATTTAAAGTCATTAAATTAATACAAGTTTTTCCTTAAAAAAAAGCTCCAAAAACATCTTTGTTTATGTCGAGATCACAATTTTACTTAAAAGTCAAGTTGTCTCAATTGATGGTTCATGGTTACGGTACATCTTATATGTTTATTTTAAAGTAAAGATAAAGATCAGAATGAAAACGATGTAAATTTTTTTATATGATTATTACTACCTCTGTCCCATTAAGATTGAGACGGAAGAAAGTGACTGATATTAAGAAAAGTGAGTCTGTGAGGTTGATATTAAATTGATAAAGTAAGAATGTTTTAGAGTCACACAATCTTTACCAAATTTGGTATGTGACAATTTTAGTGAGACTTCCCGAAAAGGTAAAATGAGACAATCTTAGCGACGGAGGGAGTATATGACAATAATACTTTCAGAATTGACATTATTTTTTCAAAAATAACAAGTACTGATTTTTAAGAATTCAAAACATAATACTCACATTATGAAATTTTACACCGTTACTTATATAGACAAAAAAAATAGTCCCTCCGTTCTAATATAAAGAACACATTTGCGTTATCAAACAGTTTTAGGAGGAAACTTTTTGACACTGTTTAGGGACTGTTAGACACTGTTTGACACTGTTTGGTACTGTTTGACACTATTCGACACTGTTTTGTACTATTTTGTTTGTGAAAAAGGAAAATATGCCTTTTATATTTGGACGAGTGGACAAACAAAAAAATGTGTCATTGAGAGAGAGTATATTTCAATTTTTGTCATATTACAACTTTTCTTTTTTGGTGAATATGTATGTAATCTGTATGGTGAGAGAGAGAGTTGACTCTATAATGGGTGGCTAGGAAGGACTAAACAACTAATATTGTCATTATTATTGCGTCCTTTCTATCAAAACCCACGTACATAAATGCTCCACACTATAAGCACCAACACAAAATTCTAGCAGAATTTCAGGTGCCTGCCCTCGCAAAAATTTAAAATTGAAATTAAATCTTCATACGCCAGAAGATATATCACATTTCCTCCACCTCTATCTCCATTGGCATAACTTCAGGTACCCTTTTCCTTTCTCCTCAACATACTCATGTGTGTATTACAGTGTTTTAAAGTGAGGTTTTAGATCTTTGTTGAATCTCCTTTGTGGGTTTTTTAATCTGTTTAATCGATTATTATAGGAGTATGATTTTAGCGCTGACCCTGTATTATTTTCTAACTGGGTTTATCATTCACCGAATTAAGTATTTATTTATTTAGAATTTGTTGAATAAGCCCAGAAGCCCTTTTTCTTCATCCCTTAAAGGGTCTGGGATTTTGTGGGGATCATAAAAATCTGTCAGAATGCATCATGTGGGAAGACTGTTCTTTGTTTTTGTTCTGTTCTGTTTCTTCTCCACTCTTTTTGTTTCCTTTTTAATTTATTTTAATATTCCGTTCTAATCAGAAGTTAGATCTGGAATGGCAATTGAGTAGGTTTTGCAAAAAGTGCGCAAAGTTAAGAATCCATATGGTGGTGTCTATACCCTGGGGCAAGTGTTTATGCCTCATAAAACGTTTGGAATGGAAAAAGAATGATGGCATACAATGAAAAGTTCATTTCTTTAATCTTACAAGTCAAAAGTAGTAGTAGTAGTAGTAAAGTATATCAATGATAATTGGCGAGTGTCTTTACTGGGGTAGGGTGTGAAGAAAGGAATAATTATTAATTCAATATTGCAAAGGGAAAATGGGAAAACAAAAATCATGGCACAAATCAAAGCTTATTGACATTATCCTTATGCTTGCCTTTTACGTTTGATGTGATAATTATTCTACATTTCTGCTTAGTTCTTAATCAGGGATTATTGGGGTTTAGCACTGTGGCAGAATCATAGTGGGATAGATGTGTTAAGCAGGAAAGAAATATTTCATCTTGAATGCTGATGAGTATCTTCTTTCCATCATAGTTGTGCCAAAGGAGCTTAAGTTTTTTGTTCTTTTTTAGCTGTGGGGACAATCCCTTCTTGACATATTTGCTTCTATAAAGGATCATATCTGAATTTAATGTCCTTGATATTATGCCTTAAATCTACTGTTCTTCACTTTCACTTTTGCATACTGTTTAATGCCTTCTTTTAATTCTGCTGTTTGCTATTTGAAGATTTTGATTTTCTTTCTTATCAGGCGGTATCCGATGAACTTTCTTTGAATATTGTTTGAATTCATATATGGTCAGGCTAAAAAAACTCTTCCAGCCGATGTGAGCTCGGAAACATGGTAATAATGTAAACTCATACATTTCTCTGTATTGTAGCACTGGTTTATAGATAGGTGAATATACTTTATGGGCCTCCTTGGGAGTTAGACTGTGTAGGGGTATTGTGGGGAGGGGGGTAATTTTTATTAATGTTTAGATTATGTGAATTATATATGATTTATTTTAATGAATAAATGATATTTTAATTTTAAGAGAATTAAGACATTTTCTTTTAAGTACACTAACTTATCATTTTAAGATATACGGAGTAGTAATTTAGGAGAAGTAATAGAACCAAGTCAAACCCTCTTTTCAAAAATAACTTTATGTTAATAAATAAATGACTGTTTTCATTTTAAGAGAAGTAAGAGAACTACAAGAATTACCTTTTGGATGAAGGGAACTATGTATCATTTTATATATATATCGTGAAAAAGTATAACATTGTAGCACTATTTTTTTTAAAAAACTCCCTTTAATTTCATTCACTTAGGGTCGGTTTGGATGGAGTGTTTTGGATGGTTTTTTAGGGAGGCTTGGGAGGGCTTACACTATTTTTTTTATTTATTTTACAAATAAGATGTTATCTTAAAACAAATGAAGATTGAGTAATCAGTGAAGTGTTACTTTATCACGTGTTATGTTATTCCATCAATTTATATAATCGCTAATATATATCAATTATCAAGACATAGACTCGGACCTCCATAAGCCTCCCTTCCAAAACCTTTCATCAAAACCGACCCTTATGGCGTAGCAATGCCCCTTCCATATGCTAGTTTACTCAACAAATGAGTAAATGACAAATTGTGATGCCGTACTTGTTTCAACTTCTCATTTTCCATGTATTTCCCGTTACATTCTCACTAATGACATATTCTCTTCTAAGTTTAGTGATATATTTAGTTTTGAAATTTTGTAGCCATGCATTGAGAATTCAGCTGGACATGCTGACAGTGAATCTGCAGTATGTAATCTAGCCAAAATCCCTATGCATGATTTCAAACCATTTGAATGCAATGACTATGCTCATCACACAACAGAAGAAAAACCAAACACAAACGACAATAGTGGAATTCTATGTCATTTCAATGATAGTAAAGATGATGCAGATCTTTTTGTCTTTGAAGAAAAACCAGTTCTTGATTCTTATAATGGCACCAAAGACAATAAGAGTGAAGATGGACTTTCAGCAGTAAAGGATGATCAGGATCTGTTGTTACATTTAAATCTTTGCAAGGAAGATGGAGAGAGCAATGATAATGCTGTCAAAGATATTTGTATGGATGTGGGGATACCTCTTGTGGAAAAAAAATTGATTGAAAACTTGAACACTGACACAAATGGCATTTTCGGAGAGGATGCTCAAAAGGAAGCGCTTTTTGACGAGGCAAAAAACATGCTGGATATGAAGATTGATGATTTACAACCAGCTGTATCTGATTGTCCCATATCATCATCTCTGGAGGATAATGTCAAAGAATCTAAGGGTACTTATGTAGAAGATGATTTGGTGAAGCCCTTTGAATCCAGATGTTCTTCATCTGAAGAAGTATTGAATGATTGTCAGGTTTGTTTATTTGTTTTTCTACCCTATGACAATTGACACATGAATATTGTTTTTGGCTGTCCCCATTGGTCAGGGTTCATTTGTTAACGTTTCATGCTTTTGATTTTACCATGTGTAATTTTTTTGTATTCAATAATATTGTTCTTATATGTGTTTTCCTATTTTTGAATGTCTAAACAAGTAAATGTGTTTTGCAAATCTGTTTTGGATATACTCCTTATGATTTTTATAAAATTTATTATGATATTATATGTTTGTAGATATAAAAAAACATGTTTCTGAAAACAATGAATTACAGAAATTTTCTCCAATGTTTTTTCAAAAAATCCTCTTTAATGTCTTAAGAGCAAAAACAGAAAACAAGTGTTACCAAACATCGCCATTCTGTAAATTAGTTGAATGCCATTATTGTACTACAAGTCCTCTAGTGGCTTTGCATCTAGAAAAAAATTAAGTCTGTTCACATTCAATGTGCAGTCCTCTGAAGAAGTAATAATCCCTGGAAAGGATGAGAGTTCTTGTGATCATGCTGCAGAACCTGAGTTGTTGCTAGAGATGCAGACTAGTGAGGATAAATCCCCCGCTAATCTATTAATGGGACCCGGCCAAGATGGGTTTGCAGATGGGGAAACTAGTTTCTCTTCAGTTGGTCCTATATCGGGTTTGATTACACATTCAGGATTGGCCCCACACCCTGGGAGCATATCTATTCGTTCAGATAGCAGCACAACCAGCACAAGATCCTTTGCTTTCCCAGTGTAAGATTTGTTTTCTATTGTTTTTTCTCTCGTTCTGGTCCTATAGATGTACAATATCATTTTTCCATTAGGAAATCATCGTGATATTGAAAAAAATGATAGGCACCCGTGAGGTTGCAAATTATTGCTGGACATTATTTAGGTCATCCCCACTTTGTGGTTTTGATGCACGATTTTGAATCTCTTCCCACTATTGGTCCTGCTAATCACTAATCGGGTCAACTTTCGTACAATTTCTGGTTGGTTTTCACTGAAATGACCGGAAAGGACCCAAAGTAGCAAGAAATTAATAGTTGTGTTTCAAAAGTTAAAGTCATGAAAGTTGGGGGGAAGAGTAATTTGAATAACTTAATAGCCGTGGGAGGCCAAAAATGAGAAGTTATCTTTTTACAACATTGCATGACTTTATTGCCAATCTTTATTCACTATTGTCTCATGATAGCATTCATTCTTGACCAATTTTCTAAAAACACTGATTCAGATTGCAATCAGAGTGGAATAGCAGTCCAGTACGAATGTCAAAAGCAGAAAGGAGATATGGAAAGCATAAGGGTTGGAGGCAGGGTCTTCTTTGTTGTAGATTCTAAATTCTTATTATTTCATTTTTTAGGGCTCTTAGCTTCATTATAATAACATATACAACGTATAAGCATACATCATGAAGCTGTTAGTGCATGATATTAGATACATGTTGATAGTAGCAGAGAGCGGTGTGCAGTCTAGACTGTCTAGAGGTTTGTTTTTTCACTGCTTGCTTTGAGTTTGAGTTGTAATCGGAAGCAATACTATGGGTTAAACTGTTAAAGTTTTTCTTTGTCCTTCAGCCACAACTTGTTTACTATTGCATTAAATATTTAAATGTGCAATTACTATCAAATCTTAATACTCACACACATATAGTGTGCACTTCCAATGAGAACTGTGCCTCTAACTCAATGTGTTACACTATAACGTTTGTACGTAACATTTTTTCAAAATGACAACATCAAATAAATATGGTGACAAATTTGTAAATATTTCGTCAATACGAAAAAGTAATCACATTGAATGATTGAACTAAAAGTCTAAAAGTGGTGTTCTCAAGGTTCTTACGTTAAGCGTAGTTTTCATTTGATTAAATTATGTGTGTGTAACTGTGTATGTCTGAATGAGAAGATCATTTTTGGAGAGAAATAAGAAATAATATGGATCATCAGATTATCTTCTCATTCAGTCGTGCGACTAATCTCCTCAGACGCTATTCATGTCATTTTTATTCTTTATGCGTGAAATCGTTTACTAAGATCTTGCTTCCTTAACTATTTCTCCAAGATTCTTTCCTTAGATAATTTTCTTCCCTTGCCCTAACGTGTTTCCTTTTCTCATTGCCGTGATCATTTTTCTCGAGCTTGACATATTCCGTTGTTGCTTGATGCACCATCTTGCCATTCTTCCATGGATTTCAATTAGTATCGATTCTCTATTCTTTGTTATTTTGTTACTTAATGTATATACATTATGTCTTATTCGTTTTTGTGAGTAATTATGCTTTAATATATGCGTATAATTCTGAAATAGGACTGACTTATGTTAAGAACTAAATTAATTTCTTCGCATTATTATTTCATTAGTTAATGTATATACTTTGTGATCGAGAGATGTGTTTGTTTTTATATTTTTATGAAGTAATGCACTTAGTGTTATTTCAGTTGTGAACAAGAAAAAGAGGCACAATACAATTCCTTCTAAACGAGATAGAAAATGAAATGATTATAAACATGGGAAACATATCTCTTGTACTCATATATGTAACGGAGTCTTGTACTCATAAATGGATGGCTTTGGTCAATTGTGCATTATTGGGTCTTTGTGATTCCATATCACTATCAAATTGCATAAATAAAAAATGATAGAACAAAATTAGAGTTGAGTTAAAACTATTTACCAAAATATTGTTGAATCTAACTATGGTTGATCAAAGTCGCCAAATGGAGTGGCTACTTAGCCAATGTGTGTGGCGACTTTTAGCATACAAGGGAACAAGGCCGTGTAAGTAGTGTTGGACCCGGTTCGGGCCGCCCGACCCGGTTCGGGCCGCCCGACCCGGTTCGGGCCGCCCGACCCGGGAACCGGCCCGGCCCGGCCCAGTATTGTGCGGCCCCCGCCCGGCCCGGCCCGCTACTGTGCGGCCCTGGCCTGGCCCGGTGTACCGGTTTTGGTTCAGGGCCTAGGCCCGGTCCCAGGGGTTAGGGTGGGGCGGTCCCGGTTCACCCCATTCTTTGAAACCGGCCCGGGCGGTCCCGGGCCCGGTTCATGCCTTCTTTTTTTTTTGGTTTTTTCATTGTTTCGGGATTTTTCCTGAGTTGGGCTAAGTGTTTGGGGGGTGTTTGGGGGGTGGGGGTAGGGGGGGTTAAAAAGAAAAGAAAAAAAAAAGAAAAAAAAACATGGACCCGGCTTGACCCGGACCGGACCCGGTGGTAACCCGGGCCGGTACCATGATGTTAACCCGTCCGGTTTCCTCCGATCTAGGCCATCCATACTAAGGGTTTGAGATGTCCATTTTCCAACTAAAAACAAGATCCCCTGTTCGGGTCTTTCTCTTGTCTTCTCTAAAATGGAGACTCACTTCCAAGTTATAGCTCAGATTCCACTACGATGATTTCCTTTCGTCATGGTTCGTCAGAGCTACATACTGAGGCAAGGTTTAAAAACCAGAATTCCGATCCCCCGTTCGGTTCACCCTGTTACCGAGTGCCGCTCGGTTTTTCCTACTCACAGTTTTACACCATCTCCTAAACTAGCTCGAATCCCCCGCTCGGTCATCCAGAGCACAAGGTCAAGACGGAGCTGAAATGGTGGCTCCCTCCAGACCATGACGAAGGTCCTCATTCGGTCACCCGGAATGATTTCCCACTTTCATGGTCAAGGCGAGGCTTCTGGCCATAGTTGTGATACTCCCGTTCTGGCCATAGTTGCGATGTTACCGTTCTGGCCATAGTTACGATGTTACCGCTCTGGCCATGGTTGCGATGATCACGTCGTGCTGGGGTGGCCGATTGTGGAGCTATAGAAGCAGTCAGATCATCCGAACAATAGGTTTTCCTCCGTGGAGCGTGAAGACGCCTCTAAGGTGATAAACATGTCGTGGCGAGAGGCCGATCATGATATTAGGACAATGGCGGCAACTACAGCGGCGGTCCATAAAATGTAGTCATGCTGTAAATATGTCGGTACTAAGGGCACCGATCCGAAAACTCGAACAACGATCCTCATCCGCAAGGAGCGGGGATGAAGCCGGTCTTCAAAATATGCCCGTCTCACGGCCCTCGGGCATGATGGTTTTCTCTAGGCCCTCGGCCTCTTGGTGGATGATGCTCGTCTCACGACCTTCGGCCGTGATGGTCTCCTCGAGGCCCTCGGCCTCCTGGTGGAAGATGCTCGTCTCACGGCCCTCGGCCGTGATGGTCTCCTCGAGGCCCTCGACCTCCTGGTGGAAGATGATCGTCTCATGACCCTCGACCGTGATGGTCTCCTCGAGGCTCTCAGCCTCCTGGTGAAAGATGCTCGTCTCACGGCCCTCGACCGTGATGGTCTCCTTAGGCCCTCAGCCCCCTGGTGGAAGATGTTCATTTCTCGGCCCTCGGCCGTTATGGTATTCCCTCCATGTGTCGTGATGCCTACACACTTGTAGTCTCTTCTTTTCTCGATTAGTTATGAACGTCTCTACGTATCATGCCGAACATCATTGATCTCTCTGCTCGGGTACATCGAACGGCTCCGAATGACTATGATTCCTCCTACACACTTGTAGTCTTTTTTTTTTGTTGCCAGTCATGAACGTCTCTGCGCTTCATGCCGAACGTCAAGAACATCTCTGTGCGTCATGATCTCCTGTTCGAGCTGATCGAACGGCTTTGAATGAATGTGATTCTTTTCTCGTCGTCGTCAGTCATGAACGTCTCTGCGCTTCATGCCGAACGTCATGAACATCTTTGTGCTTCATGATCTCCCCGCTCGAGCTGATCGAACGACTCTGAATGAATGTGATTCTTTTCTCGTTTCCAGTCATGAACGTCTACGCGCTTCATGCCGAATCGTCATGAACATCTCTGTGCTTCATGATCTCCCCGTTTGAGAATATCGAACGAATTTCACTGCACAATCAACATGGTAATACGGCCGCACGGCCGAACAACATATACAAGTATATACATACACATATGTATAATATTTTCTTTTTATTTATTTTTTATTCATGACTACCGGTCGGAGTGACCGAGATAAACTTGCAAGTGTACAAGTGCCGATATAGTAATAAATTCCGGTAAAATAGCGGGTCGAATCCACAGGGAAACGTTGTTTAAAATTAGTCAGAGAGTAGTTGACTTTAAATAAAGAAATGAATAAAGTGCAGAGATTTTGATCTGTGTTTTATATTTTTGGATTTTCACTTTTAATTCAAGGAAATAACTTTAATTAATTCGGATTTAAGATGAATGATAACAACGGCTAAGACTTCGGGAATCACTTAAATGCTTTAATAAGGTTGAATATTAGTTCTTTACAATTAATTATGAATACGATGTCGCTAATATATTCTGAACTCCGGTTAAGGCATCGAGGGCGTGATTTTCGTTACGTGTAAGTCCAATTACGGCTTACATTCATCTACCGAAAACCCCGTTTGAATATCAAGACATCGCACTTGTATCATATAATACCGGATATATTTCTATTCTCGGTATTATATATGTTTATCCTTTAAAGTTCATAGTTTAGACTTCAATGCTAATTGCAAGCATAAACTAAATTTAACATACTACTTCTATGTTGTACACCATAGTCATAAACAATCAAAACGTAAAGAAACTTTTATCAAACACCTAGTGGGCACAGAAGTTCATCCCTAGCCTTAGCTAAGAAATTAGTCTCTAATGCTCATATTAATCACAATACAATATTGAAATGTAATGAAACATGAAATTAGAAAGGAAATAATACCTAAACACCAATGGTTTCGGAGGTTGAAGTTTCCTCCTCAAGAACTTGAAGAAAAATACCAAGAACAAAATATAAAAGCTACGTAGTATGAATTAAAATATGGAATGGAATATCTTTTCTTGATGAATTGAGGGCTTTATATAGGCTAAAGAATGACACATTTTAGTCTATTCAAGCCCAACAATCAGGTATGGAGGAGATATTTGATCAAATATGAGGAAGATGAAGTTTTCTAATCAAGAAATCTCTTGCACGTAGCTGTGTTTGTAGCAAAAATCGGACCAACCGGCGCCGGTTATAGCATGTCTGGCGCCGGTTTTGTGAAAAAATGCACCGGTTGTTCAGCGTCGGTTGAAAACAGGAGCGATCCATGAAAAATACCAAACGACTGACGCCAGATATGTGATGACCGGCGCCGGTTCCTGCGCCCAAATATGTACTTCGTTTCTCTTCCTCTTTTGCTGTCCGGAATTGATCCAGAAGTGCCGGTTTTCGACCCTTTTTGACTTTTGACCCTATTTTTGTTGCTCCAAGCCATATTTCATGTTTCCGCTCATTCGGAATATTTACCTGTTTTCGCTTCACTTTTTTGTACAAATAAATATAATGACTTATGTAAAACATAAGTAGTTATTGTGTTTATCAAATTCCCCCACACTTGAGCGTTGCTAGTCCACGAGCAATGTTGTCATTTTTGGATGCCTTGGTTAGTTCAATCAAAACTCAAAAGTATATGCGCAAAATAAATTTGTTTTTAAGAGAGGTAAAAATGTATATAAACTCTTTTTTCTTTCTCGGTCCAAAACCCATTTTTCTATTAGACACAAAAAATATCATTAGGTTTAGAAAAATTACTTATACTCTTGAGAATTTGATGAGTGAATTGTGACTAGGGTGTTTTGGTGAGTGTATGATGGCTTTTTGGTGGATTGGCTTTTCACGGTGCTACTGAAACATGCAAAAGTGCAACGCAGTGAGGAAAAAGTGCAATCGTTCACACTTTGCACGAGAACACTCTCTTTTTATTTGATTCCCCCCTAATACATTATGCTCGGTGTAAAAGTCCAAACTTATGTGTATATCTTGCAATTTATTTGTCAAAAATTAATGATTTTTTAAAAAAGGATATTAAATTAGGAAGAGATTGTTTGATGGAAAATGCGCACTAGCATCATTAGCTACACGAACTGCACATTTAGTAATGTTTTGATGCATGCATGCCATTATATTAATAATAATGCATGATTTATTCAAGGGAAAACTATCAAACAAGCTCCCGTACTATATCAAAAAAGTCGATTAGACCCTCGTACTTTAGTACTTTAGAAACACTCAATTAAGTACTCGAACTATTAAAAAACGTTCAATTAAGCCCTTTCGGTCGGTAAGTAACCGGTTTCCCGGTTAAATGGCGACGACGGCGATGATGTGCTCGAACCCCAACAACGGCGGCTGCCGGGAAACAGGTCACAGTACGAGGATTTAATTGAGTGTTTGTAAAGTACGAGGGTCTACTCGACTTTTTCGGTATAGTACGGGGACTTATTTGATAGTATTCCCTTTATTCAAAGGTGAATAAAACTAAGATGAACACTTATATTTATTAAAACGGATGAAGTAATTTTGTTGCTTATTAAAATGCAAAACTTACGGATAGTGACGATTGATGAATAATTCCTTATCGTAACAATGACACGTGCATTTTAAGATTACATATTAGCCCTTAGTCTAACAAATCATGCCAAAATCATGCCAAATTAACTTAATTACGTCAATCAATATGTTTGATTTTTGGGATTCAATCATTAATTGAATAATTAAACTCAGCCTTTAGATAAGAATCTCAACGGTAGTTATTTATTCTTATTTCTCTCCTGGGGCTTCATTCTCACTGGAACCGCACTGTATGTATGTATGTATGTATGTATGTATGTATGTATGTATGTATGTATGTATGTATGGTATGTATGTATGTATGTATGTATGTATGTATGTATGTATGTATGTATGTATGTATGTATGTATGTATGTATGTAGGGTGTGGTTCCAACGAGAACGATGCTTAACGTGAGAACACTCACATTTAATCCAATATGATACACAATAAAGCCCGTTTGATGCACATTGTGACTTTGCTCCAAACAAGCCAATATAAATAATAACGGTGACATTTTGGTAAATATTATGCTGAAAGTGAAAAAGTGCATTAGGCGAGCCTCATTGTGCATCACATTGGGCTAAATGTGGTGTTCTCACGTTAAGCCTTGTTTTCATTTGATCTTTAAATATATATATATATATATATATATATATATATATATATATAGAGAGAGAGAGAGAGAGAGAGAGAGAGAGAGAGAGGTTGGTTCAAATAAAAAGTACTTCCTAGGTGAAAAATAAGAACTAATCTTGGCCATTGATGTGAAAAAATGGATGGAAGAGATCAATTTTTAGGTTGGAAATGCGGTGACATTTGTAATTATGGAGAACTTTTATTGAAAATATTGTGACAAATGTGCATCAGAATAGTCGAAAAGTGCACATGTAGAGCACAAAAGTGCAATACGGTACAAAATAAAAAGGGCACAAGCTGGAAAAAAATTAACAATCTTTTTTGACACGCATAAGTGCACTTTTAATCAGTAACTATTCACTTTATAGTATAAATGTTTGCACATTTTTTGAAAATAATCTCTTTTGTTTAAAGTTCATCTAATCCATCCATTTTCAAGTGATGGAAAGCCAAGATTTATTCTCACTTTTCATGGGAAGACTACTTTTTACTTGAACCCACCCCTATATATATATAATTTATATATTTAAGGATGAACATTCAATGGAGAGTCTTGTAAAATTAATAGTTTCACAAGTGTAAATTTATTAATCATTGTAATCAAACAACCTATCTAATTTTAGTTCTTGTAATCAAGAATAAACAGATGACTAGATTTACAAATTGACAACAGAATTGTATAGAATTACTTGGATAAAATTTATCATCAAACTCAACCTCTATAAATGGGGATCTGATGAAGTCTTTTAAATTCATTTCACCAATTTTCATATCCAGAAAAAGGATGTGCAGTTATCATTTTTTAAGTAAATAAAAATTTCAACATTTTTAAAATAGAAATATACTACTCAGTATATCTCTTCATTGTTTCTCTCTAAAAACCCAGCGGCCGTCTTCCCTGTTTGTAGGGATTGAAATTTTCCGCCTCCCCTATCAATATGAGGCTGAAACGACAGATTATACCAATTTTAAGTGTTCTAACGTACAAGATTGCAATTACGTCGGAGGAGATAACGTATGTGGATGAACGGATTGCGGTTGAGAGTTTGTATTAGTGTTGGAGTTGGTATTCACCCATATTGCAAGAGCTCGTCCTCCTCCGGAATCACCTCCATACCAAGAGTTTTGTCCAAAGATTTTATTACAATATTATTTTCTCTTAAGTGGTGCTTATTTTTGTATTAGTGCAAGTAGATTTGGTTTGAATGTTTAGATTTTTGAAGTTAGGTTGATAGACCGAGTTTCATATCTGTTTGTTTTAAGTTTAAATATGTCAGTTTCAGGTTTAACGAGTCCGATTGCTTTATATGAGGTGACTAGGGCTGAGCACAGGGCAAGTTCGGGCGGGTCGGGTTTGCGTACCCTAAACCCATTCGGGGTTTTTAAGTTAAATACTAGGCCCGACCCTTTGATATTTCAAATCGGGGTTTTCAGATATTTGTAAGTCGGATATTATCGGATATCAGATCGGGTTTCAGATATTTCGGTTACATTAAAAAAAAATAATTGGATAATTAAAGTGTTTGAATGCCACTTTGACAAAAATTCTACAAACTAGTGCACTAAACATTCAAATTATGCAAATAATTTAATACAAATTGCATAAATAATTACACAAATAATTGAACACAAGTATTAATTTAACATATTCAAAGTACGCACTACATAATTTAATATATTTCGAATATTTCGGTTATGTTAAAACACATTATAATTGGATAATTAAAGTGTTGGAATGTCACTTTGACAAAAATTGTACACACTAGTGCACTACACATTCAAATTACAAAAATAATTTAACACAAATTGCACAAATAATTACACAAATAATTGAACACAAGTATTAATTTAACATATTCAAAGTACACACTAAATTATTTAATATCTTTCGGATATTCGGGCGGGTCGGGTTGAGATTTTACAAACCCTACCCGCCACCCAATCTAGGCCCAATACTAATCGGATTTTCGACTTTTAGTTTTTCGGGTCGGATATCCATTTCGGTTCGGATATTATCCGAAAAAAACTTCGTGTTTTGCGGGTCGGTTCAGGTTTTGCTCAGCCCTAGAGATGATTGACTATATATCTAATCACAAGGTTCACGATTGAACATTGGTCTTATACGAAGTATACCTTTTCGATTTTAATATAAGACGATCTTTTTCATGATAAAAATAATGTTTTTAAAATTGAACTTTTTTTTAAACATAACAATGACTCCCTCAAAACGGAAGAGAGCGACTGAACCATCTCTGGAACCATACGAAGCGAGAACAGACGCCACAGCTACTTGGCCTTTACAATACTTCATACGTTTAATACATTGTTAATAAATTCTTCAGACTGTGGAGCAGGGCGCCATACGGTTTTCCTTAGATCCCTCGGCGCTTCAACATGTCACCTTACAGGAGATAACATTTGCAAGATCAAGCACTGAAGCACTGCTAGTAAATCCCTCTATGTTCTTTTGATTGTATTCTTTAATAATCACCACCCACCACTGACCATCGAGTGGAACATGTTGGAACCCAGTATAGTGAAAGTGGATGCATCTAGGTCAACTCAGAAGTATCTATTAAGTTAGTAGTAATGCAGTTTATGTAGTTAAAAAGTTAAAAACTATTTGGATGGGGCCATGGGGTTACTCTATATAGGCATACTAACATTAAATTAATTATAAGTAGATTATACATAGAATTAAACCTTGAAGAATCCTATGGTCATCTGGAAGATTTTTCTTAGTTTTTCACTGTGTATAATTTCTGGATTTCTGGTAGCTGATTATTGGTATGGTTGGTAGTTTTTTGTGCTGTTGTAGTTCTGTTTATGACATTTATTGGTTGGTTATGCTTACTGAGTTACTGAAGGAACAACTCAGAGTTTGAGAGAGGAATTTGATGCATTATGAGATGTCAAGGTTTACGTGGAGGATCGAAAATTTCTCAAAATTGGCTGTTAGGAAGCTTTACTCTGTGGTGTTTGTTATAGATCGGTACAAATGGTATGCCCTACTTGGACATTAGTGAAAAATATTGTTCTGTTTTGCAAATTGTGTTGGTCGATGAGTTTCACTTTCTTTTGCACATCTCCAGGAGGCTATGTCTTGATCCAAAAGATTCGACAAATCTGATGTATATTTACCTTCAAGTAGCTGACTCGTCAAGCTTACCTAATGGTTGGAGTATACGAGCAATGTACGACATAGCTCTTATTAACCAGATAGACATCAACAAAACTATCTATGAAGGTATTATACCATACGAGCCACTGAGTATGTGAAATTATCAATATTTTATTTATTTGTTCGTTGTTCTTATTTTGCACTATGGTCATGGTCCTAAAATTTAAATTTTGATTCTCATTACCAGTTATGACTCAATGTAATTGTTTGGGGATCAGGATCTTTAGTTTGGTTTTGAAGCAATATATACTGTCTTACACATAACATCTTTTATTGTAAGGATTTAAGGATTCTTGGCACGCCATCTTTCATGAAAAAGCTTTGAAAGTGTGAAAAATGTTACCTGGTGATATTACATTAACGGTTTAACCTATTAAGAATGTCAAAATCATTTCCTTACTTCTCTGTGACATGACATATGGATTTTTTTGGAGTAGATATACAAATATGATACTTACCAAATACTCCCCATGTTCATGAATATTCCCTTGTTTCTTTTTTAGTTCATCCCGAAATTATCACTCTTTCCTTTTGAAGGAGAACATTTTGTTGATATTACTTCTCTTTTCTCTAAATTAGTTCAATTACATAGCTAACATTTTCTTAATCTCTTTGATCAGTACAATTGTGTGTTTATTTTGGGATGGAGGGAGTAGTGAGAATATTAAACTCAATGTCTCAATCTTATAGCATAACTTCATTGAAATTCAATTTCTGCACATTATGCAGGGTCCGGAGATGAATTCGACACTAAACATAATAGTTGGGGATTCTCATTAATCTCGCTCAGTAAAATTCACAATAAAAGTGAAGGTTTTCTTGTTGATGACACATGCTTACTTGAAGCTGAAGTATCTGTGGTGATAGATTTTATTCTACCTTGCAATGATAATGTAAGTTCATATATGCTTGTTTTTAGTTTTAAATAGCATGCCTCAAAGGCGTGAGGCTCAAGTAGGGAATCGGGAAGGCGCATCGTAAACCACCGTTTATTTGTGCGCCACATCTGCCGCTTAACTTGTTATATGTTAGATTGTTAGATATAAGTTGTTAGATAGTTATTTTTTACTATTATCAGCTTAACAAAATGTTGTCATTTGTTTTGTTTATCTCTGTTTCTCTAAAAAAGGAAGCCCTGTTCACATTGGTGTCACCGCAAGGCAAGGGTCCGGGGAAGGGTCCCACCACAAGAAGACTTGTTTGAAAGTTACTATTAAACAGTTTGTTATTGTAGCTTACTATTACACAGTTTATTATTTAAAAATTACTACTAAACAATTTATTATTAGTATTAAATAGAAAATGGAAACTAATAATCCCACCTTCAGGTTAGAAAAAGAAAAAAGAAATAAATAAGTGAAAGTATAAAGAAAGTAAATTAAAAAGTTAGTAGGTTGAGAAAAAAGAAAAATGATACATAGATCATCATACGTCAGGGACCGATGGAAGAAGATGAGGTGCAAAGGTGGGCTTATTCCTGAATAATAGTTAGGTGGGACTATCGTAGGAAGATCACTAAAAGGTGAGATTATTAGTTTCTATTTTCCCCTTTTAAAATTATTATTAATTGTTTAAAAAATGCTGTTAAACAGATTATTTAAAATTATTATTAATTGTTTTAGACTTTCATACTTTTATATGAGTAACAGGGAAGTAGTCCTCTGGTAGTCGGTAGATTGTTTGGATTGTTACTCGTCCGGTATTATAACAGAAACATGATTATTACTCCGTAGTATATTACTCCTCCAATTGTTCAATATGCCTAGCAGATTGTTTAAACTTTCCACTTTTGAAAGATGATCATTGTTGTATATATATGGTCTTTAGTGTGAGATTGTTTAAACTTTAAACTATCTCATTAATGTAATGTTGATAATGATCACATTACATTTAGTCATTTAGTTTATAACACCTTCAACTGAGTATTTAAAAAAACACCTTCAACTGAATACATTTAGTCACATAAACTAAAATATTCTAAAACTAATGATCTTCAGTGAGTGTTCAATGTGCTTGAGGTGCGAGTCCAACATTTGAGGCACGCTCCTTTGCCTCGTTCCTTGAGTAAATTGAGCCAAAAATGCCTTGCACCTTTTAAAACTAAGTGCTTGATTAAAGCTGTAGTGCATCTGCATGATATAGTCCCAGTTGTTCTGTGTTTTCTAATGACCTTTTTTTCCCTTGTGTGCATGTGATCAGGCTTCTGATTCTTCTGCTTCTCTGGATGATCTTATTGAAACTGTGCACGTTGAGATTCAGTCATTTCTCGAGTCAGTATCCAAGAAACCATCCAGCAGTTGCTCCGTATCTAAAGTTACAACATGTGAAATGGGTTGGCTAAAAGGTCATGCATCTTCTGTACAAGAAATCCTTCACATGCTGAATTTATACCCTTTTTATGCATTGGCCGATCCCAGGAATGAAACTGCAATTCTGGAGTCCTTGTCTGAACTAAACGACCACCTTTATTTGTTTAGTGATGAACGGGCCAAAGAAATTATAAACTTGAAAGCTACTTTTCCTCAGATAATGCAGGAATGGAGAGATTCAGTTCAAGTTAAGGAAAGAAGTGAGCATCCCTGGTCTAGTTTTGAAAAGACCCGAAATTTGCTTGACGACTTGGTGAAAACAGGGGAGGAAATAAAGGCTAATCTGGGGGAGCTAAACAAGAAAGGAATGGGGTTGAAAAATAAGTTGGAGGTCATTAAAAGCAATATTCAACAACTCATGGAGGAACGTGAAGAATTATCATATCTGACGAAGGCAGTTTGTGCACTTGCAGAGCAGCAGGCTAGCAACATTGAAGGAGCAGAGGTGGAGTTATTGGGCCTGGCTAACAAAAAGATGAAGCTGGACTGTAAGTCAAAGTGGGCTGCAACCAGACTTCTCTTTGGTTAAGAAATATGGCTCCAACTGTGTCTAGTGACGTACATTTTCTTAGCACTTTGGTCAAGAATTATGGCCCCGACTGTTTGTTAAAAGCTTGTTTCGGCATTCTTTTGTCACGTATGGTTGTAAAAGAGTGCTTTACAATTTACTGGCAAAGGAATTTTGCTGCAATGATTTTTATTTTGTTATATCATTTTGTAAAACTCTTAATACTTCCTCCGTATTTTTTGTTTGCTACAATAGGTGTTGGCACATTATTAAGAGTGAATTAGTAGGAGTAATGAATAGCATAGAAAAAGTAAAAGAGATAAAATGTAGAAAAAGTAAGGGTAGTTGAGTAACCAAGCATTCCAGTTCACGTGGTTGTGAAGTTACCGTACCTAATAAAAGGTTTCGAGTTCGAAACCCGCTAGACACATAAGCATTCGCAACTCAATGGAGCATGTTTCAACCCTGATTACTCCAGGCTCCTTCCAGCCCCCTTCCCCAGACCTCCCTGGAGTAAAAAAATAAGGATAGTTGAGTATTTTTAAGGAAAAAACATGCTAAAAAGGGAAATTGTAACAAATCTATATCTCTACAATATTATAAGAGAAAAATTTGTTAGGGGTTTAACGGTGCATAAAAAAAATGTTGATGTCTCTTGGTGCATAATCTGATTGTACTTTATATTGACTTGGTTGTAAACCTTAACATGCTCGCAGCCTCGCACCTTTCAACGTTATATCCTGAATTACGGTGGCACTCCTCAGCGTTATACAGAGTATCAATCTTCAGCTCTTATGTTACTGATTCTCTACTATTCATTTATTTTGTTGAAAACTTTTCAGTTTCTCTCTTCGGTTTCCGCCGCTGCATCCTGGCCTCATAATGGCTTCTGGAGGGTTTAACATCTCAAAGGTCACAGGATGGTCGATTGTATGTAATTTTCCGCAGCTCTTCGGTGAATTTTCCTCTTCATCTCTGTTCTACTCTTGTAAGTTTTTTCTCTATTAAGCCAATTTGCATTGTATGGTTACTTTATTGTTAGTGTTCTCCGTATCATCTTGTTTATTTCCCTCTGTCGGTGTTCTGTACGGTCTCCCAGAATTGTTTATTTTGGTGATTCCAACGGTACCCTGGGATGGGGGATTCCGGCCCAACCTCGTATGGACGGATGTCCGATGTTCAGCGGATTCCGCTGTTTCATCCAGGGATTGCATGTGGTGGACTGGCGAAATGGGTGTCCAGATTGTATTGGCTGAATACACCTCGTCAGCCGCCTCCTGTTCGTCCGCCATCCGGCGCATGGTTTTCGTCAGTTCCCTCATGAGCCGGGGGTCGCGCCTGGCCTCATGGGGATGAGGTTGGTGAGGCCACCATCGCCTCCAGCGGTCCCTAGCGTCTGAGAACGCTCCGTGGTTTGCCCGCGGCTCCTTCGTTCGCGAGATAGTTGCTCCGAAAGGTCGCGTTGTTGGCTGTTTCTTGCCATTGTGCTTGCTGTGGGTAGATGTAGCAGCTATTTTTTGGGAGAGTTTTGGAAACTTTTAGTTCAGTTTCCCACAGACGACGCTAGTGTTGAGGTTTATTCCTTCAACCCTCGGGTTCAACACGTAAGCCCAAGAGTTTCGAGTGGAGTGTGTGTGAAGAAACTAGCTCGACTAACAAGTGAGACGGATTAAGAAACAGTAAGTAGCAAGTGAGAGATTAGGTATTATTAATCAGTTAATAACTCCCCAATACAATATTTTCGCCAAGGCTCGTCGGCCGTTCGTCTTACAAGGCAGTAGAAGAGTTGCGAGTAAGAATGCTATAAGCTAGAATGCTAGGAATAGTAAGTTGTCAACCCCTTACAATGAAATAAATACTGCTATTTATACCACCAATGGGCAACTGGCTATGCTGATGTGGAGGCTTGTGTGTGGCTGGTGTCCCAACCACCAAATCTCCGGCATTAAATGCGTTTCCCGCCAGAATCTGGGTTTCCCGCCTAGTTGTGGGGACGTTCGTCTAGTCCGGATAAGGGGGACCTGCTCCTGGTGATATTGCAAAGGTAATGGGCCGTTAATATCCCGGCCCTTAGATGATTTGTCCCACAGGTTGGACTGGCTCCAAGTGATAATGGCTTCCGGAGGCGACGTTCGTCGCCATTGCGTCTGTCTGTGGATCTGATCCACTTGTCTTTGTACGGACGTTTGTCCGAGTGGGCTGCCCCGCCCAGGAAGACGTTCGTCTTGGTCGAGGTGAATGGGCCGGCCCATGTGCTGGTCATTAACCCAACACAATGTATAAATAACACATTACAAATGCAATAAATATAAATATAATAATTGAAAAATAGAAATGTAAAAAAAAATCAAGTTTCATTTGGACACAGGAAAATAAAGATATAATAATGTAATATTCTAAAACTAGATTAGCTACTAAAAAATTAATAATATTTGTGTAGTTCCAAGTTGTGTAAAAATTAGGATATCACATTTGCTCTACCGTCAATTTAAACGGTAAGAATTAACTGAAGGACTTGATTAATATAGATCAAATATAATAAGGACTAAAATGATATGATGATGATAGTTTAAAGACCATTTATGCATTTTATGCTTTAACTAGAGTTTGTCCAACAACAATTTGTTTGGTAAATCCTTCTACATAATTGCATTACTTTTTTGGGAGGCATTTTCCCGCTCATCGCCACTTATGTTCCAGCCGCACGATCTATTCACCCATATCCACGCCTCACGTTTGTTCAACACATCTACCGTCATTTCCCTACACCATTTCACACATTTCTACATCTAATCTATCTCCTTCGAGAATCAGACTTCAATCTCCTTCTTCTAGAGTCTGACTTCAATCTCCTTTGTCTAGAGTCTGACTTCAATCTCCTTCATCGGAGATATCTCAGTTTGGATCTCTTTCACTGGATATTCTCCTCTCAGAAAGCATGGGAGTTCAAACGCCTTCAGCCTAATATCTCCGTTCAGATAAATCTCTTCTCTCGCTCTAGAAATAATCAGAATTTAGACACCTTTATATCGCAGGTATTTTCATTCCCTCCTATTTCCAAATTCCAATTTCAGGTTGTGATTCCCATTGAACTTATTGTTTCCGTTTTTTGTCATACTTCAATCTATTGCATTTTAGGTTGTTTGAGTTTTTTGACTAAGTTTAAGTTGCTTGTTTTGTGCCATATTATGAAACTGTTTTCTAATTTGATTATAGTTGATACCACAAATTGTGGTAAATTAAGAATAGAACATGGATTAATTTTTATTTTGAATGAATTGACAAGCTATATTTGATGCTGTTATATGGAACTAAAAGTATATTATATAGCATACGTAGTTACGTACTCTCTAATTTTGCATATGTAGTGTTTGATAAAATGCTTAGGTCACATTTCTTTATTTTTTAATAACATTATAGAAAAAATCTGAAAGTTAAGTCACATTAACTATACTTTATGAAACTGTTTTCTAATTTGTGTTTGATACCACAAATTGTGGTAAATTGAGAATAGAATATGGATTAATATTTATTTTTAATGAATTGAAAAGCTATATTTGATGTTGTTATATGGAGATAATATTCTATAGTATAGGTACTCTCTAATTCTGCATATGTAATGTTTGATAAAATGCTTAGGTCATCTTTCTTTGTTTTTTTAAATAACATTATAGAAACTGCCAATTAAGTCACATTAACTATACTGATTAGAAATGTGAAAGATACATGAGTGCACACATAACACATTACTAGATTTTTGGCACTGAGAGACCAGGTGTTTCTTTTCTCGCTTATTCTAAATTGCTACAGAATAGCAGACTGTACTCATTAACTATCAGGTTTGAGGTATTTGCAGTTATATATTTTTGTTAGTCGTGGCCTCTCACCTGAGATGGTGAAGGGAACACCATTAAGCCCTGTACTTGTGATAATTGCTCGAGTCACACTTAATGGATGTAATGACAACTCTCTTTGTTTGTAAGGTTCCTCCAGGTGGATTCACCATTTTTCTTAAATAAACTATACTATATCAAAGGCTTTGAGCCTTTTATAGCTATCGTAATATGCAGTTTTCACATTGGGATTCACTTTTCTATCCATTTTGAAACTTAAGTGGTATTTCCATTTAAAAGTTGTATGTGTATTTTCATTTTTGTGTTTTATATCAGTTTTTATGAGTTTCTTATTCACTTTAATAGTTTAATATAGTAAGAAATAGTCAAGTTAACATTAGCTTCTAGCTTCACTATTACTCACTTGAGTTCTTTTGGTTTTGCTTCTGTGTACTTTATTTTGGTTCACTAAATGTTTCTCAAAACTGCTCATTATATTATTAATTAGATTCTGATTATTTTTAGTCATTTGTTCTTACATTTTGTGTTTGACAATGGAACATTTTTTGCTTTAGATATTTTTTTTTAAGCCAAACTATGGATTAGTGTTAAATTTGCGTTCAAAGTAGTCTAGCAAATCCGTGCCAGTGAAGGGCAGTCTGGGAAGCTCAATGGGCACTTGAAACAAAAGGTAAGATTCGGGAAAGTGACTGGCAGTTTGAGAAAGGATCAATATCATATTAATACTGTATTTCTTTGTCTTTTCTATGTCATTTTATCTAAACCTAAAAGAGAGGTGGATCTTGGAGTCGTGAAATCCAAAATCATTAGAGCTCAAGTGATGTTTGTGTAAGATATCAAAGATAGAGCTTTTGAATCTTTGCTAATAAATTACATGAATTATATTGAGATATATCCCAATTCACGCCTTCTTTGTATGCTCAATTCACCAAGTGAGGTTCTTTTTGTTTAAAGTTAAAACATATTAAAGTTGTAAATTTGTGTGGTTATGCCGGCAAATAGTAATGAATGAGATTATCATACTTTTCCCCATTTGTGGATGCCAGGAGATTGAAAGTCTGGGATGAAATCTTGATGGAGTGGAAGATTATTCTGCAAGAAGAATAGTTTAGGTTCTTTGTGACATTAAATTTGCCATGCCACGAACTCTACCAGTTTGCCTATTATTTGTAAAGTATGACTCCAATTCATCAAAGCTTTTCCCTTGAGCAAAATGATGAACAGAAGGACCACCATCACAAAAATAGTTGAAGCTAAAACATAATCCATTTTATAGTGGAAAATATCTATAAATGAGGATAGCATTACTCCTATAAATGAGGATAGCATTACTCCTGCAATCATCCTACATAATTGCAGTACTTTTTGGTTAGCATCATTTTCCCGCTCAATCAATCTAGCCATTTCTACCGTACGATCACCTAAATCGCTC